GAGCTTTGCTCCCGGAGCGTGCCCCTGGAGAAAAACCCTCGTGTGTATCGGCTTTTACACAGGAATGAACGGATAGCCAACATACAACGTGGACAGGAGGCCAAAATAGTCTCAAAATCATCGCCATTGTTCTGTCCAGCTTGCTTAGAACGAAAACTTGTCGGAATTGTATTGAACATAATTGAGCAATTTGCTCAGAATTTTGTCAGGTGGTCTTGATTGGAGTAGTCACACTGTAATAAGTGAACTGGACAGTTCCGTTCACATCATAATTCATGTTAATAATACAAATAAATGCTGGCACAATTTGGAAATAATTTGATGAAAAAAAAACAAAAAAACCTTTGACTGCCAAATTGGACAGGCTACTGAATTAGTTTCAAATCCACATGTGACATGTGACGTCTTTTCTTAAGCACGGCATATAGACAGAGAGATAACTCAACCTTAGAAACGTAGGGCTTGGGTTGTTTCGTAAAAGATAACTAAAATCTGCAGCGGGACCCAAAATATTTGTGCCCAACAAAAGAACTTGCTGACCACCTTTAGTGAGACCTCCTTTAGCCTCTAGTGCTCTAGCTTATCGCCCTGAAGGGAGGTGCGTAGTGAGTTTTGATAGGGCACATTGTTGTTTCTCATCAGCGAGTGCGACCCCAGCCTTTACTGAAGAACCTCGTGACCAATCTCCTGAGGAAGGTAACAACATTACTCTGGAATGGAGGTACAACTTTAGAGGGGGATCATTTCGTCAGCTTATCTTTGGAAATAGAGACATATCCCTCATAGTAGAGAAGACCGCCTCTGACCAACGGCCGTTTATAGCTCCTGCATTCAGTGGTCGTTTACTAGCGAATATAACAGAAACATATACATCGATCACGTTCCTCGGAGTGAATAGGACAGACAGTGAAACCTACACGTTGACCTTAGTTGGCAGTTCCAGAGAATCTACTGACAGTAAAGTGGAGATTTTAGTAAATTGTAAGTACAAAAGAGGAACAAAAAGATTTACACTTTAAGTATATATTTTTTTATGCCTCAGTATTTTTTTTTCGCGAGTTGCTCGGGTAAGAGGTACTCCAGGGTACTCAAACTAGACCTACATGCTTTACATGTAGAACGTTTTGAGCCTATCTAAGAGGTCAAAAGACGTCAATAAGAGTGTTTCTGGAAAGAGAGTGATTCTATTTACGCAGCGTTTACAAGGAAAATTGCTAACCTTCCTACCCGGGGTTACCCTGTCTGACATATAAACCAAACAGCAATGCACAAATCGACGGCAGCTGTTATTCGCTATTCATCTAATTGATGCTGAATTTCGTTATAACATTGTCGACGTAGCTGTGGATCCACCAGTCGTAGCCGAGTGAATCCACAGTAATTAGTATGATTATCAATTATCAGTAAGAGGACAGATGTATTAAAAGCTGGAGTCAATTTTTCAGTCACAAAAATAGGATCAAGTGCAAACTTCCGACGAGAGGAATAGCTGGGCAAAAAAAGCGAAAAAACCTCAATTTCTTTCAGCCAAAATGATTCGAAACTCACGGTTTTGTAAACTTCAGACTAATTGCGATGACTCAAGACTAAACCCGCGCAGAAACAAAACTGTAGCCAATATTTTTTTCTGTTCAGAAATTCTTGAAAATCCGTCAAATTCTGTGGTCGGGTCTTTGCAATTTGCCCTCCCTTCAAGAGTCTCATGCAGATAAATAAAATAAGCAAAGTCTGGTAAACGTCATGACAGCGTCTTGTCTTATAGAACCACGAAACAATGAAAGCTCTTGCAGGTGTCTTAGTTTGCAGATTTGAATCCCTCAAGAATTATAATTATTCCCATCAGATTCTTGTAAGGCTCTCAGTAAAAACAATGTATTCAGTGATTCTGTTATCATTTCTTAGAGAGATTATTTTATTGTACAGATCCACCTAAGATTGCTGTTCATCCAGGCACTGAAACAAAAATTGAAGGGGGAAACGTGGAATTATCTTGCGACGCTGTTGGAAAACCAGACCCGACACTATCATGGACCAGAAATGGATCTCCCATAAGGACAAGTGATGATTCCAGCATCAGTATTTCATCAAACAACAAACAGTTGACAATAACGAATGTGAAAAGGACAGACAGCGGAGAATACCGATGTGTGGCGAGTAACAGCCTTGCAAATACTTCCTCCAATGCTGCTTTACTTGATGTACAATGTAAGAACGTTGCTGATGTTGTTTGAAACTTCTTTGATTTATACATTGTCCGCTGTTTCGAAGTTGAACTGTTATAGAAAATCGGTTTATCCATTATGGAATATTATGGTCAATCTTTTTTGCGAAAGGTTTTTACTGGCTTAAACATATGATTGGGGTGTTTGTGCTGATACTTTAGGATAAGACAAAAGGGAGGTGATTCTTCAAGGCTTTAAAAACATAATTCTACCGTGAAAACATGCAGGGTCCTCTAATTTTCATAGTTTGTCTTCTCCCATGCTAGCAAAAATTAGGAACGAACATCAAATTGGTATCAGTAAGTATGGTTTGCCGAATGTGTGTCGCCACGACGATCGGACAATGTTGGTTTTAAACTCACTTCTATCAAAAGCATAAACATAAACATAAACTTTTATGGAAAAAGGATCACAGCCAAACCTCAGGCTTTAACTGATCACCCTTGCAATCACGATTAACGATGCCCATTCTGAATGCTCTTGCACAGCTCACAGTTCTCCAATAAAGATCCAATTTTCTCTAGCACTAGGTTTGCTGTTGTTTATCTACAGATCAGCCTGAGTTCACTGCTCATTCACAGAATGTTACAAAACCTGAAGGCGATAACGTTACTTTATCTTGTAACGCTACTGGAAATCCGGCACCAGCAATATCATGGTTCATAAATGGATCTCCTATGGATACAACTATTAACAATTCCAGGATCAGTATTTCAAAAAACCAAAATCATTTGACAATAAGCAATCTAAGCAGGACAGACAGCGGAAAATACCGATGTAAGGCGAACAACAAACTTGGAAATGCTACATCTGATGTTACTACACTGGATGTCCAATGTAAGTAGGAAGTGCTGTTTTAATTAATTGAAACCAAACAGTTTGAAAACTGTTTCCGTGAATGTGTTGTCGACAAACCCCCTTTTCCGGCTTCCGATTTTGCATGAAGTTCATTTTCTGGTGAAATTTATAAAGGAAAATATTTGGAATTTCCTTGAATGGAAAAGCTCATTTATAGTTGCAGCGAAAATGAACGAATTTTCCAGTTGTTCATCGTAGCTCCTCAGTTGTTGGAAAGGAAAAGGTTGGTCTTTACTTGAACTTCGTTGCGGAGTGTTATTCTATATACAGTACTGACAATACACTTCGTTGATCGCATTCTCCCAATCAGTCTTTGTCATTTGCTGAATATATTTTGCTGGTATTACAGATAAACCCGAGATCACTATTCATCCAAAGAAAGAAACAAAACTGGAAGGAGATAACGTGACTTTCAGTTGTAAGGTTGATGGAAATCCAGTACCGACAATATCATGGACTACAGATGGATCTCCTTTAGACACAAATGACAATTTCACCAGGATCAGTTTGTCACTTGACAAAAAGCAGTTAACTATAACGAATGTGAGCAGGACAGACAGCGGAGAATATCGATGCGTGGCGAGCAACATCCTTGGTAATGAAACCTCCAGTGCTGCTTTATTGGACGTACAATGTAAGTACAGTTCTT